TATCAGGAACAAAGTTGAATCCACCAATAATTTTGGTTGGAGTGCGTAGAGGATAAAGCTGTTTAAGCACCCCGTTCCACTGAACTCCATCGCTGCACTTATAACAATAACTTTGCATCAGTACCAACAGCTACTGCCTTAAGCATGGCGTTAAAATCTCGGTCGGAATTAGTTTAAAGTTCGCAACTATTTGCAATAAAAGCAGCCTGCCGGCTTGGCAGCTAGCCAATGAACTTTTTCATGCCGAATTTCAACAGACTAGGATCCCATAGGATGTGAGAATTAGACAGGCCTCTTAAATCGTTAAATAGCTGCAGAATTTTTGCTCTTTACAAACTAAGTCTGGGAAATTAAAAGCTGAAGTCGATTTGAAGTCTCTTTAGTTTTGAACCAATTTGAGTTGAACAAAAGTTTTTCTCACATCAGCAAGCCACTTGCTTATTCAAGAAATTTTCACAACCCGCCCAACTTGTTTCACTTCTACGCACTTTCTTTTGTTGCCTATTCAAATTTAAACAAAGTATTTATTTCCTTTAAGAATTTGCATAATTTTGGCTTGCAGAGCTTTATGAATTCCAACTCCAATTCCACTCCGCAGAATAAACTGTGTAAGCTTTCACTTTTCGCTCATTTTACCGCATAACTGAAGTCATTAATAAATCGAATTTGCATCGTTAGTAAACGGAAAAACTCTCGACGAGTCACAACAACCATCTCCCTCCCCCCACTACTCTGCTTTAAGATGCAAAGTCATTGTCAATAATAACGAAAGCATGCTGCAGCGCCAACATTCAATTGCCCTTCGCATTGGGGAGCAGCTAAGTAAATTATTTATTCACAGTACTCGTAGCATTGCTGGGCTTGCTGTCGCTTCGCTTTTTTGCCATTGTTCTTCTGTCTGCCAAAACTCTTCGACTTTAAAATCAATTCTCCTCATGGCTTGTGTGTGTGACAGAGTTTAAGGTGATGGTACTCCGACTTTGTTCACTACAGTCATTTGAGAGATTTCAACGCAAAAGGGCTGCGCGCTTTTGTTTGAGGAAAGCAAAAGTATGTAAATGACGCAATGAAGTAGAAATTCGAGGCTGTGACATTTTCTGGCTGCCAGGCAGATTGCTACGAGTATTGCCGAAATTTCGCTGTTTTTGGGGTGTCGGTTGCTGCTGCGACCAACGAAATTGGAATTGAAAGTTGATTGCGTATTGTTTTTTTTTGTTTTTTTGTATGTCGACTCCATTTGATATTCGCCAAAAATTGTTATGTCTCTTTTTCTGAGTCAATGTAAATATAAATGTACTTATACTAAACAAATATGTGTGTGTGTGTATGTGTGTGTGCGCGCAAGTGCAAACGTTATAAATATTTGCAAAGCTTTTTACTTTCTCATGCATTAAACAGACAATCAGGCGGCTTGGCAGGCTGGCCGTATAGATAGGCAAACGGCTCGGTGGAAACTGCGAAATTCGCGAAATCCCTTGCGAAAATAAATATATGTACGTAAATATGTACATATATACTTTATACAAATATATTTTAGTGCGCGCGGAAATCTACATTTCCCTTTGGTGTTATTGTCGTTTTCTTATTAATTTGTTTCTGCTTTCTCATTTGTATGTGCATCTGTCTGTACGTACATACATATTTATGTTGTATGATTTCCTTATTTGTTCTTGCGTTTTAGGCCATGTGGCGTTGGCTGTTCTCGCACTGTTGCAAAACACTTTGTTCTTTCGATTTGCAGGCACATCTTCGTTCAATATCCACTCTGCGTCAAACTTTTTTGCTCCCGCATGCTGGTTTTGCCTTTTTTGTTTTTGGTGTTGTTAGCAGCCTTTTTTATGGCCAAAACTTTTCCAGCTTTCATGAATATTAATATTTTATACATTATACAAACATTTGCAACTTATTTGTTTGTTTTATTTTTGCCATTTTTTGCTTTTTATTTCAATTCATTTGCTGCTGTCTGTTTGCTTCGCATTTTTGCTGCTTTCATGAGTTTTGCATTTGTCATTAATTTTGCAAATTATTGTTGTGCTTTATGATCCTATCCTCGTTTGTACTGTTTGACTTATAAAAACTTTTTCGAAATTTTACTGACAACTTTTAAATATATTTAGCAGCAAATGTAAAAATGGGTACCGGTTCAATAAATTTGGGAAAACAGTACAAACAACCGCACTGGCGCACATATAGCTATGCTATGTATATACAGAGATACTCTGTAAATATTTAAAGAAAATAAATTTTTAATAGGCGCGCCATCTGAAAATCTTAACTTCGAATAAGATATGATAGGTAAATTAAGTAAAAAATGATTTTAATTTTTTGAATTTTATATGGAAATAGACGGAAAATAAGAAATCATTTTCATCATTTAAATTGTCGTTGAAACCGGCTATGACCACTGATCTGGAGCATCTGCATCAGAGAGTAAGTTTAAAAAAAAAATATATATAAACACATAATTTTCGCGGTTAGGACTTGATGTGTGGACTTACTTCGATGCTCTTTGTTCTTTGAAAATCTGAGAAATTGGAAAATAGAAGCTAACAAAGACACAACTTATTTACACATGAAGCTGTGTGGTATCTTATATGTTGGCTATTCGTTTCTCTTCTGTGCTAACTGACGCCAATTGGAAATGCCAACTGATGCCAAGTCCTTCTCCAACTGGCATTTTTATTCTCTGCCACCACCAACGAGTGCAGGCTTTCTCACTGATTTAAAAATATTATTTTTTTTGTAAATTTTAGTTTAGTTATATTATATGGGAGCACCATTATCTCTGCCAGTGGCCGGTAATGCTTGCTATAATTCTATATACTGCTGCCTTTGATCTGTTAAGCAGCTCAAGTGTCTTGGGCATGGTATAGCTAGACCAGAGTTCCCTTATTTTGCAAGTCCGTATATCCGACCCCCTTCTCTTTGCCAGTCCACGAAAATGCAAACCAATTTTTCTTTGAACGACTCCGAGGGGGAGGGAGATTGTCTCTTTATCGGCCATTCGGTTCTGCTATGGATGGGACTCTCACTAGTATGTTTTTGAAGCTGAGGTGAGGTACCATATATTCGACCTTTTGTCGTGATTGTATTACGATGATAATCGTTCCGTGCCTGAATTGGCGAGTTCCGAATTGTCTTGGCTTTCTGACTCTGACTGCAGATTTCATTCCACTTCTTTTAGGTGGAGATAAATGGGGATAAAGTATGAAATTTTGTTTAATGCCTCTGTAGGGCAGGACCTTAGTGAGCCCGTTATTTCTGCCCCCTCTGCTATTTTTTAGCTACCTACTTATTTAGTTTATTTACATTATACTGTTTGCCTACAAACCACTGCGCCATAGGTTAGAATAGCTTTTATGATGGCGGTATACATCCACATCACAAATTTCGGTTTTAGTCGCTAATTTCGTATAAAGATTATCTTGCAGATATAGTTTGCTAAGTAGGCGTTCTATCTACAATACTCGACATTGATTCAGTTTAGTTTGATGTCCAGCAAGACTCCCAAATGCATTGCGAATGAAATTTACTTTAATCTTCCTACAGTTTAGCGGGACACGCTTCAGTATTAAGCAGCCTTTAATAAGTGCAACGAGGATCTTAATAATCGTCGTTAACCCTTCTTGAGTCATCATTATTAATATTCCGTCCATACCAGGTGATTTTAAGGGTGAGAAACTAAAAGTAGCAAATTTTATATTTTCTCTCTCCAATAGCTTCGCCAAGAGGTCCTTGGAGAGTGTTCATGAATAGCTGACGGCAGCGTTTTTCACTTAGTTGACCCTGCACCTGCCAAAGGTGTATTCAGAGGGATACCTAGTGATTCCCCAGCCGACTTTATCAATGAATCATCCAAATTTTTGTATAGACTTGTACGTTGACTGAGACTGCTCTCTGCTAAGCATTCTACCCAAGCTGGCGGACTCCTTGGTATCCCCGTTGGATTCACAAAATTCAATCCAAGCGACCCCTTGGCGTAACAGATCGCCTTTAAATATTTATTTAAGCTCATTTTGTGTAAGTCTCAGACCTTACTTTTGTAACACTAATTTAAAGATTCCCTTACTTATTCCGGAGCTCTGTGTGGTTCTTATTCTACAAAGTAGTGCGACCCTTCTTAACATACCTACAGGGACATATAATGGTTAGGGCCATTCCGAAGGCCTTATTCAGGCTGTTGGATCTACCATCTAGGTTGTGGGAACATCTTCAACCGTAAATTTGTTCCACTCTTTGACGAATTTTTTTTTAAATAAATTCCTGTTTGTTTGGCCTATTTTGGCGTTATATGTAAATGTATCCTTACAAAAATTTCGAGCTTATAAAATATCTTTATTATGCAGATTTGAAATTAATTATTAGGCGGGCCGACTGATTGCAATTCTATTGATTGATAATTTATTCCGAGTATACTCTTGATGGTTTACAAATAAATACTTGTGTGTATGTTTGGAAGGTAATACTAAGGTTGTGGTGTTTTGAAAAATTAAGAATTTTTGAGGTTCGAATACAAATATGGCCGGACTAATTCAGAGTACTGTAAATGTATGCAAGTGCAAATATTGGAATGGTGTGTAATATATCTAGTGTTTTTTTTTATAAATTATCTTTAAAAATCCATTAATTGGGATTTAAGCGATTTTATGGTAAGCATGCAAATATTTGCATTATGTTTCAAAAGGTTTTACTCGAAATATACTCCAACTGCAAGGTAACGAAATTAACTTTAAAAGATGATCGAACATTTTATTTAACAGTAGGGCTGCATAACTGCTAAATACTATTATATTACGTTTGAAACCTTTTCTAAAACTAAATATAACTTTTATTAATTCGAGTAAAATTTAATAATAGTCAATATAAATATGTGTAAGGGATTGCCATATAATTACATACATACATATATACGATTTTGGAACAATACGAAAATATACCTACGAGTACGAATTATATGTAAATAAACATAAATTTCCACTTAATTTTTAGGGATAACTTACCGTCGACTACTCTGTATAATTGGTGAAAGAATTATCTCTAGACTCGAAGAAATGTTTGGATGCATTTGATTTTGAAGTGCGCTCACATTCACATTCGCATTTATATTCGAATTTTGCATTAAATTTTGATTCCGGCTTTGTGCTAAGAAATTTGGATTCGAATTGGAATTGAGATTTTGATTTTGATTAGAATTTAGATGTGAATGCGAATTATTGAACCGATTGCGATTAAGCGTCGAATTGACATTCAGGGCACTACAATTGGATGGGGACGTGTTGTTGCTGGTTGTGCGGGGGTTGTTCGTGGGCAATGTGTTATTCGTGTCGGTATCTACATTCAAAATATTCGCAATGGCATTTGCATTGCTGCTATTGCTGTTATTGGCATTGTTGTTGACATTGCAATTATCCAGATTATAATTTGCCGTAAGGGAATCGCAGTTACAATCATCGTCGTTTGTGTTAGCTGCTTCCAAGGCTTCATTGCTGCTGTTGTAGTTATTGTAGCCGTTGCCGTTGCCGTTGCCGCTATCGGCTGGCGATATTGGCTGCAAATCATCATTCAAATTGAATTCATTGTTATAAGCATTTACTTCTGCGCCACAAGTGGCGTCTTCAGTTTGGTCTTGGCCGTTTTCTTTGTGTGCAACTCGTAGCTCTTCTTCCTTCTCACGCTTGCTGTGTTGTTCTTCGTCATATTCTTCTTCAACTTCTTGCACATCTGCGAGTTCTTCCTCATTGAACTCTTCAATGCTGCCTTCACTACCAGTTGACGATTGTGTTGTGCTGGTTGTTGTTGTGGTATTGGATTGATTGGTATTGGTGCACTATTTATTTGAATTTTGGATATTTTTTTTTATATAGTTGGTAAAATAAATACGAGCGCGGTGAAAAGAAAACACAATGGGAAAGGGTTGGTTGTTGAATCATTGAAGTTTTAAAGGGTTTTTGAATAAGTTAAAACTTTTACTTTTGTTTTCATACATATTCCACGAGCATTACGTACAGACGAAATAAATAATAATTATTATTAGACGACAGAAACATTCACATGCGACAAATAGGTAGGTATGTAGATATTCTTAAATAGGCAATGTCTGGATAAACTAGCCAATATTAATACCACAAACATGCAATATTTGAAATTATTAGAAACTTAGACATCGATTTTTATTAAAATCATACAAAAATCGCAAGACAATATGTATATATATATGTAAATACCAGAGTTTCCCGGCAATGCCTTGCTGTGGCTTAGCCTAATAAAATGGAACTATGAAATTGAGAAAACTCTCGAACCATTTTCAGGTTTGGTCGCTTGCTTGTCATCCGAGTGGTATGCACGTGAGGTAGCTCGTCTTTCATTTGATTGACTTCGACGACCTACAATGCAATGTCAGCGTCTCTTTTTCCCTGGTGTTTAGATGCGACTGCTAAAGCTGGGTGCCTAAATGCGTGCTTTGCACTACTGCATGTGCAAAAATTTCCTTTATGCAATTTTGCACTTCTCAACTGCCATGCAATAAAAGTATCTTAAGTCATAATTTGATGGTAAGTAGAGGTTTAAATTTCGTGACAGTAAAAGCTCAGTAATGCATGCATGGCGTTGTGTGAGAGTTGTCACATAAAGGATCTGTTAAATGAGCTTTGCGTGTAAGCGGTTATCCAACGCACAGCATTACATATGTAAAGATGGCATAGCAGTGCAAAGTGTGCATAACTGAGCCTTAAGTGTTTTTTTTTTAACCTCCAATTAAAAGCAAAAATAAAATGTTGAAGGTTAAAGGCCCGTTGTTCATGGTCTGGTCATCACCAGCTCTTAAACATCGTTATTGATATCATACACATAACATGTGATCGAGAAAGCGGTCGTTGTGTTTAACCAGAGCTTCTACCTCGGATTTGTGTTAACCAGGTAAGTATGTAGTAAGTAGGTAGATGACGCTTGTATACTTTATAGATATAGATAGAATTTTATCTATTTTATAATCAGAACAACCCAACGTGGAATTGTTTGCCTTTGTAACATACTTCGTAGCAGACTAAATTTATTTATGTTTAAAATTTATTTGATTCGACCTTATTAAAAAAAATTGGTGACTACAATGTTAAGCTAATGTTAAGCTAAGGTAGCTCATTTTAATAACTTAAGTTTTAGGCTTCCTTATCACTGTAGATAAAACTCAAAAAACTGGGCTGTAGTGGAGCAAAATTCTCTTGGGGTTTTCAATACCGCCTATGAATACTACCGTTTTTTCACACTTCTCTGAGTACCGCAAATCAAATTTTACATTCTTTGTGCCTAGCCTTGCATTATTTTATAATATTGACCACCATCACTGAGATTACTCATTTTAGACAGAAATTTGATAATAAGCAAACCTCTTCTTGAAACCATGTTTCGTAAAAGCGTTTCTAGATTTAAGTAATTTTTAAATAGTCATTTGTATAATTTCGTAAAACCTTCAAAAGCTGCTGACATTTAATATAGAAATTGTGTTCATTTTCCAAACAAAAGCACTACTTCGCCAAATTGGTATGGGTTTTTTTTCACTACAAAAATTGCATTAAGCACCTATGTCAAATATTTAATTAACAAAGCAGAGTAGTCTAATATTTCATGTCATTATGTATGTATGTATGTGTGATTTAGCCCGCAGCGGGGTGCATTACATTGCTGGCTGTCAACGTGTAACCGAGTAGACCAAAAGCTACGCTTACAGAGGTTTTCAAATTTCATTTGTTTAATACATATTTATGTGTGTGTATGTGCAGGTATACATACAGGTATATTTGTTTATTTGTATGAATATACATGTACCTATAGGCACTTGCATCGCTTGTGTAATGCACGTTCGAACGAAAATAATGCAATTAAATACAGTGTCAGGCTTTGAAGTATTGTTTCAACTGTGATCGTATTTTTTCCAGTCTTGTAAAACTGTAAAAAGTATTTCTATACATTCTCTTAACAGGGCAATTCTCTCTTTGGAAAGATAAAAGACTCTATTAAGGCAATTGTCAATTCTGGCAACTAAGAATAATTGAAACATTATTAAATTATAAACAAAATAAAAAATTTGTAAAATAATTTTCTAAAAACCTAAAATTAATTAATATCAATTAATAATTAAAAATAAGCTAAAATAACAAGAAATAATCTAATTGACATAAAATAATAAGTTCCCAAAAGATAAAAGATAATCAAGAAACTTTATTTTTCAAGCGATTAAAATAAAATTAAATGATGAAACACAAATTAAATAAATATTGCTAAAAAAATTCAACGAAATTAAAAGAAAGTCTAATTGAAGAAAGACAAAATTTAATTGAAATAAAATGATAAATAAAATGATAAAAATTAAGTGTAATTAAAAAAAAATAGAAGAAAATTCTATGAGAAAAACAAAGTAAATAAAAAAAGATCACATAAGTCAATGAAATTAAAAGAAGTTTTAATTGAAGAAAGCAAAAATTAAATTGAAATTAAATAATGAGATCCTATAAATTATGTGACATTACCCAACTTTCTGTTTTAAGCAATAAAATCTAATGAAGAATGAAGTTAAATTAAAAAAGTGGCAAAAATGAAATGAAATTAAAAAAAAAATCTCTTTAGAACAAAAAAATCTAAAACTTAAAAGAAATTCTAACTAAAATAAAATAATATGATCCCAAAAATTATATGCAATAAAAAAAATCTTTTTAAACATTTAAATCTAAAAATTATAAGCAAATTAAATGAACAAAACACAAGTTAAATTAAAAAGCCGTCGCCAAAATTAAATAGAGTTAAAGAAATCCTTGTGACAGAATAAATACAATAAAAAAATTCCTTTTAAAAGTATTATATCTAAATATCAAAAGCAAAGTGAATTAAAACAATAAAAGTCAATACAAGAATAAATAAAATAAGTTATTTGTTTTTGTTGTTTATGGCCTTATAACAATTATATTCAACAATTTTGTTGAGGTTAAGGCCGTTTTTTATCAAAACTATTATGGAAAAACAACAATAACAATAATAAAAAAGTGATAACTAAATATTTCGGAGATCAACACATCTCCTCATCAGACTTATTCAGTGGGATTCGATCCAGCGACCCCAGCTGGTTTAGCCAGTAGCCTATCCTCTGCGCTAAGTTCGCCTTAGAACTGTGGTTGTATTTCCACAATATTTTTCATTAAAAAGCGGCCTTAAGCCCAATAAAATTGTTGAAAAAATAAAATAAGTTCATAAAAATAAATGCAATGAAAATAAATAGTAAAAAATTTAATTGCAACAAAAGAACAAAATAAGTTCCTAAAGATTAAATGAAGTTAAAAACAAAATTTATAAAAAAAACTCAAAATTAAAAGAAGATTAAATGTTGGAAATACAAAATTCAGCAAAAATATATAAAATATCCAAAAATTAAAGAAAAAGTAAAAAATTTTCTTTTTAAAAGAAAATTTAAAAACCAAATGAAATTAAAATTAAAAAGAAAAGAAAATTAGTTTAAAATTAAAAAAATACATCAAATAAATTTAGAGCAAGTAATTTTTAATCTAAAACAAAACCGACTTCAATTCTCCTATAAAAATTGAAGATTATCGTTAATTTCTTCATGATCCGATGATCGGATTTAAACCAAACTCTTCAAAAAAAAAAAAAACGATTCCGACGAATTGACAACCTTTCTCCGTTTTGTGAAGTCGGTTAAAAATTCGATTATAATTTTTTTTCTTTTTAAAACCAAATCTAAATCATAAAATACAATCAAATTAACAAAAGAAAAAAATCCGCTGGCAGAGCTCTCGAATGCCATGCCAGTGCTTTTCTCACTGGATATACATAGATGTCCATTTGGAACATGCGCAAGTGCTTTCTAACATAACGCCATCTCACTATGAAAGTTGGAAAGCGTGCTTTTTTGTAAGACTTTCGTGCCAGAATAAACAAAATCTTTCAAACTATCTTGCCTACTCTCTGTCAATTGCCTTACAAAAGGCTTGCAACTGTCTTAGCCCGAATTGGCCTGTAAATTTGAAATTAGTGCATATGTATGTAAGTATTTTATAAGACTTAAAGGGAGTGGAAATTTCAATGAATTATGAAAAAATGAATATACTCTTCTAGTGTAATTTGAGCTAAATGATTTAAAATATTAAGTACTTCTTCACCTTTGAAACATTTCGTTTTTAAATCAATAAAAATAAAAAAATTAATATAGCCCACTGTATATTTGCATAGTTCGAAAATTACGTACTTCCATCTGGGGCAACGCCGGCATAGCCCATTTTGAATTACACTGTGTAAATAATTAATGAAACAATAGTCGAAACAAGCCAGCCGAAAGCTGATATGTACATACATATATATCAACATAACTATGTACATATTTATTCACATAAATATCTAACCATGCAGAGCCCATGGAGCAATATAAATATATTTTATTTAAGGCGATACAATTCTAAATAGTAATTTATTTTGTCAATGGTTATGCATGTAACGTTGAACATTCCCCATAATGTAAAGCACAAACTGATGTCCAACGATCAACACCTGACCAACAGCCAGTTCCAAAAGGCCGAAGTCTGATGAGGAGATGTGGTGATCTCCGAAATAGCTGCTATAACTTCTACCACTTAGACTTTGTTGCCTTTTAAACTTTTCCTAATAAACAATCGTGGTACAAAGCTCAATAGAAATATTAAAATTTTTAGTGAAGTCGTTGCCGTGAAATTTTTTTCGCACACCGTTGGTCTGTAGTCTGTTCACGTAATATTTCCTGCAGGCCACTTATAATTTCGTCTGCATGCAGATATGAGACAATGCATAATA